CGGACATGTCGTCTTTTTTGGGGGCTGTCCCGCCTTGTCTGGCTTTGACCGGGGAAGTTTATAAAATCCTTCAAATGTTCGTGATTTTGTATGAAGTTTCGAGTTTGTGTCAGGTGGACTTACTGAGTTAGAAGCGCGTAAAAGACACTCGATCAGACCTGAAAAACTCTCAAAATTACCTTTGTGACTCCGCCCTTGCGTAGTCATGTCCTCTTTTTGAAGATTCAAAAATATGGTCACCCTAATTTATGATAAAGGCTTTTAAACACAAGTCTGACTGAAAAGATGGCATGGCGATGGATATGGCTAATATGGTGAAAGCTAGCCAAAAACCAAAGTCACAGAGGTGTCGCTTCTGGATGCAAAATAAAAAGACTGCAACAGGAAATCAACGCTTCCAAATATGGTCGTTCCTGCTTCTGAGTATCAAGATGGCAATTGCAAATGCGAAACAATAGATCACACGTTATTGGTTAATGCCATGCAGGTGATAAACTTGAAGACTGTCATCACAGAGGCAATAAGATCTTCATTTATACCACCTATGATGCAAACTCATCAATCAGGATGGCTTTTCCTGAGCTCTCTCCTCTTTTTTTAAACTCCTGAAAGGTTTAACCAACCATCCAAAATAAATCAGAGATTATAGGAAGCGAATCTTTCTAATTAACCTTCAGTAACGCCAAAGGGCGGGGTATGAACAGGCCTACATGTTGTTACAAATTCCATCTCCCACCTGCCATTTCAACATCTGCCGGTCGGTGCCAGGTACCCTCCAGCTCCCCTGATCCTTCCAATTAAACAGTTACCGCATTTTTACTTTCCCACATGAGCGCAGGTGCTTATTTGTAGAGTTTGGAAAGTATTCTTCCAACCCTCTCGATTCCCGCTGGTTTCAATTTTTCTATCCTCAGGCAATCAACAGAGTCGGGGTATTGTTTTTACTGTAAGGCATGTCTGAGCCCAAGTGTGGCCAAAGCTACAATTGAACTGTTTTGCTCCATTTGCAGTTAAATAAATGGTCTCCGCTGAGCCAAAGTGGGTGTCAGCAGCACGCAGCGTGGAGGAGCGTGCAGGCGTGGAGCATGTGATTGGAATATATGGCTCGGGCGGTGTGCGCCGGATGCTGGAGGTCTCATCAAGCTTGTGTAAATGTTTACCCGGTGCACAGTTTCCATTTCAGCCTGTGGCCCAGCTTCACCTTAACGCTTAGTGGGTCGTAGGTTTCAGCTCTGTCAGTGCAGCCGTCACACAGCCTGAGCAAACTGGTGGGAAAGGCGGCTTTCTTTCGACATGAGCTTTTTGGTTGCCCTGCAGCACTGTTTACTCACTACATTATCTCAGTTATAGATTTATGGTCGTGTGTATGTTCAACGCTGCATCCAGATCATCAAAGAGAAAAGAAAAAGACAGTCTAAAGGTGACTGTAGTATAATGTAGGGTTGTCCTGATATACGTTTTTTACTTATGATATCATAGCCTTCAATATTAGCCAATACCGATAATGATTAGATATTGGCACACTCAGCTGCAATGTCTTTTTCAGACTTAAACAAAAATTCAGCCTCAAGGCCGACATCACTCTTACTCCTCACTATTTGTTCGTACCTTAGTACACAGTCAAAACCAAATTATTGCCTTACTCTGATTAAGACCGGACAACTGAAGTGCATGTAAACACTTAAGTTCAACTATAATCTAAGTTTGAGAACTCTGATTGGGACACCCAGATAATGTGATTGGAATTCGATTTTCTCTACCATGTAACTAGCGTAGTCGGAGTATGATCTGACAATGCATGTGCACGTGCACCACGCCCCCGTAACCCCAGAACAAAAACTTCAGAGAAGAGGAGTAGCGTGCACCTCATCTGCAGAAAAAGTAGTGCGTACATCATGTACGACAAAAACATCGCTGTATGACGCTCCATCTTCTTGCTCGAAAATGCCCAGCAGCAGTTGTAGACACTTCTGACATCTGGCACAGACCTGCTGTTGTTGTCAAAAATTGTATGGTGTCGGAAACAGCGCCGCTGAAAAGACCCAAATCGCCCCCTAGTTTTAGGGAGGAGGTATTTGTGGACAAGGAGAGAAGTCTGATTCGGCGAAAAAAAAACCTAATTATGAGCTTAGTCCGATTAAGCTATGTATGTAAACGCACTCAGTGTTGTTGTGGTTACGTGGGCTCTGCACGGATCTAGGTGCTGCTAGATAGAAGTGCTGGAATGGACTGCTTGTATCAGAGTGCTGATAGTGGAGATTTTAGATGCTGGTCGATATAATCTGATATTCATTTGTTTGCAGATATCAGACTGATATCTGATATCAATATCATATCTGAACAGCCCTAGTATAATGATGTTTCAAAATGCATTTCAAAAAGCCCCTAAATAGCTGTTTGAACTAGACAAAACACCTAGCTTTAGATCTGTAGACCTTCTGGTAATCCATGACAGTGTTAGATGACACGTCCGAAGTGTGGATTTAACTCGGACCAGACTCAAATGGTAAAAAATTAAGATAACTGCGCTGTTACTGCACACTGAAACGTCCTCTTCCAGTTTAATTTGAGATCTCCTCTTTTCCCTGTTTGCGTCTCTGCTTCAAAGGCTCGCAGAGAGACAGAATTGGGCTAATGATGTCGTGACCGTTTTGAAACTCATTGTCACATTTCTTATTTCTCCTTTCATGTCCCTCTATTTTTGCTCCCGCTGAGCCGCAGTCTTAAATCCACTTCTCCTCGTCTCAGCTCCACCTTCAGTGGCACATATGGATTCGGAAAAGCGGTACAGTAGGTTTAAGAAGCACAGCTTGTACTCTCAATCTGTATACAGTAAATCAAGAAGATTCAAAGGCCCTCAGAGACAAGAGCTGCAATCTGCGATCCGTTAGCCACAGCTAAGGGCTTCGGCTCAAATGATTCATCACATGATGATTGGTTGCGGCCGGGTTGGTATCCTTTCTCCTCGTTCTCTGGGCCCATTTGAGGCTATTTTAGAGATGAACAGGCGCTCGCCGCTAACCAGGCTTCAGATGTGGGGAGGAGATAAGTGTTATGTCTCTTAACAATCTGACAAACCTGCAAACCATATGAGCTCCGCTGCAGATTCAGTTTCACTGTTGATGCTTGTGCATATAGGAATGTGAATGTGAGGGTTAGAAAGCAGAAGGTGGAATGATGGTGGACTGTTGAGATGTAGGCATGAAAGTCTGAATCAAATCACAAGTCCTAAACCTAGAGGTGTCCTGATACAACCTTTTGACATCCGATACGATGCTGATATTGTAGCCTTCAATATTAACCGATTAACAGATATTAGCATAAAATTGTGCATGACACGTTTTTCACCCAGCTGGAATGTCTTTTTCCGGCTTAAACAAAAATACTGCCACATAGCCAATATCACTCCTACTTCTTGCTATTTTGTTAGTACCTTAGTAAACACTGTTGTATTGATTTTGTGGGCTCAGCATGCTGAATCAGGGCGCTGCTAGATAGAGGTGCTGGAGTGGAGTCTGGAATGGACTGCTTGTATCGGAGTGCTTATTTTGGGAGATTTTAGATGCAGGCCGATACAATCTTATATTCGTCTTTTTGCTGATGTCGGACCGATATCCGATATCAATATCGTAATTGGATACCCCTACCTAAACCAGCAGTTCAAGTCAAACCTTCAAGTTCTGATGGTTACTGTTCCTTTAACATCATAATATATGTTGTTATATACGTGTTATAGATTTGGGATCAATAAAATTCTTCTTCTTCTTAAATGAGTTACTTTAATAAATTTGATAGTAAACATCCGTTTTAATCATGTTTAATGTCTTGTTGTTGGGAGTGTAAGATAAAACCTGTATTAAAAACATTATTATTATCATTAATAATAATTGATTATTATTGGTATAATTTTAGATGATTTTTCTTTTTTATTCATGTATCCATTATTTATTGCTCAGTAATTTGTTGACTTATTTGTTCGTTCAATTTATATTTTTAATTATTTATTTTATTAGGACAATTGATTTATTTACCTCTTCTGTGTTGTATATATTTCATTATTATTTTCATTACTGCCATATGTTTAAATTGTTGGATGTTGTTGAATGAAAACAAAAAACAATCAAGATGTGTTTAAAAAAAAAATCTGTATTAATCAAAAAGTGTTGTAACACAGCAGCATCAATTTCTCAGCAGATTTTTTTAAGGTCATATTAAGACGTCTGTCCAAAGTCACAATTTGAAGCACTTATAGGAAAGATTTGTACACTGCAGTGCAAAGAAAGATGTTTATTTTAATGTAAATCATAACTATGATGAGGCAAATAGCCAGCAATAGGTTACGGATGGAGGCACCCCTGGGGCTGGGGCACCCTTCGCTATACCCCGAATCCGCCCCTGACCCCCACATCTCTTTTTGACAGCAACATGACCTGATATTAAAATCAGCAGGATAAAACTCGTGGGCTAACTAACAGAGATGACATACATTGTGAGTGTGTCCATGTTTCCCTGACTGTATCCTGTTTATGACCTTGTATTGTGTTTTTCCAGTTGTTCTTACATACCTACTCCAACACTGACATGGATGCGACCAGTCAGGAATGCATGTAAACACTTGTGTCTGTTTGGTGACGGGCCTTGCCGTCCTTGAGGCAGACAGGGAGACAGCGTGCAGCCTGTGTGGGCTCTCTTTGTGTCTCGGCTCTGCTCTGTTGGTGGCGATGTTTTAACAGCCTCCTTTCTCCTTAAACTGTTACCCAGCAGCAGCAGCAGAGACAACTGCTTCTGCAAACTCCTATGTTTAATTAATGCTGTTTTGCATCTTATTCATACATCATAAACGGCTCGAGGGGAGCATGTTGTTTATCAGATGTCTGGTTTTAAACAGCGTGCTGTTTTACACCAACTCCGCGCTGCTGTGAAGGTGGAAATAAAACGCATGTCTAGAAGGGTTAAGGGTGCAGAGCGCAGTATGGGCCTGCGATAAAAAGGTTGTGGTTTTACTTGGAGCGGCGTTGAGCTGGGAGGTGGTCATGCAGGGCTTGACACACACTGACGAGACCACCAGAGGTAGCGGTCTGAGCGAGCAGGAGGTACCGGAAATGTGTCCCATCTGCAGGGGGAGAGGAGATGGAAAAAGCGAAAGAGTAATGAATCAAAATATTGTATTGATATCCTGGATTTGTTCCTACTATAACAGCGAAGAAATGAGAGAGAAAAAGTGGAAATGGAAGAAACTGGAGCTAGAATGAGGCAAAAGAGAGGAGGACGGAGCAGGGTCAGAGTAGGACAAGAGCTCGCAGACTTCACAGAAACAGTGAGTGAAGATGGCGGGGGTGTGGCGTCTCTGTAATAACGTGCAATCAGACACATGGGACAGCAGGAACAGGAGTCACAGCTGTCCTGTGCCCCAGAGAATAATACCCGTGTCTCCTTGTTTCCTCTCCTACTCTGTCACCTTTTCTACTCCTTTATATCACCCGAAAAGTCCTCTCCACCTTTACCAGTTGCAGTCAGATACGCAGGTCTCTTCCTCAGACCTCTGCCCAGCTCCCTTAATCCCTCCGCCTCCTTCTCCTTCTCCTCCTCCTCCACTCCCCCTTTCTCCACCATCCTAATGTATTGAAGCCAACAGATCAAACAAAATCCCCCCATAAATACCAGCCTAGTTCAGCTAATCAGCCAAATTGCAGCAGAACGCCATGCCTGGGGGAGGAAGGTTTTCCCTTGCTGGGAAACATTACTTAATGGCAGCAAATCAGCCATTGAGAGCACGCCGCCGACTCATTGTAAAAAAAAAAAAAAATGTTGCCGTTTTTGTCTCGACCGTTTAAGCTGGCCACACCTGAGTTTATAAGTCATCCAGTCCTGATTTATGAACAAGGTTGTAAACTCTTTAAAGACTGTTAATTATCAGCAGTAGTCTGTCATTATCATCATATTACATACAGCTTTACCTCCATTTGTGATGATAAGTATAACAGGCGACATTGAGCACAGTTTCTTGAATTCAGCTGAATAAAGAAGCATAAAGTCTGCAAATGATGGTAAATGATTATTAATGAATTTGCCAATTACATTAGCAGAGCTAGCACCCCCAGGCCTTTTGTTCTCCTTAGAGGCTAATATCCATGACTTGGATAGTAACTTTGGTGTCGACTGTAAAAGGTGATGATAGGGCTGGGCAATATGGCCTCAAATCAATATCATGATATATTGAGCAGTTCACCTTTTTAACGATAAATAAATAGGCGTTGAATGGACGTAGGACAGCATCTTAAAGGGACACGAGACCATAGCCTACCTACACACATCCAAAACCAACTTTTTATTATTTTTTTTAACACCGAATATACCGACATGGGCAAAACGACGTTGGGTATTGTCATAAATTTCAGTATCATGTCACTTGTCTCATAAAATAAATGAATAAAAACAAAATAAAGAAACATATGTGGCCTCTATGGCAAACCATGGCATTTAATTGGAGTTGGCATATTTCAGGTCAGTTTCTCATCAACATATCACTCTCTCCTGTCAGTCACTTTAAGGACTGCATTAAGGTATTTTTTTTACTGTTAGCATTTCGCAATCAGTCTTTTTGGGATCACCATCGTCTTCACAATAAACTCCGCCGCAGTTTTTGGTTGACCCTGACCACTTTTCAGCTATTTGTTTCTGGACTATCACTGTGTCTCTCCATCTTTCATCCCCCTGGAACTGTAGTTTTGAGCGACAGCTGGTCAGATTTACTGTAACCTATAGGAAACTATTTTGCGCTAAATCTCCCAAAGCCTAAACAAAAAGTAGCACCTCTGAAGCACATAAAGGTGAACTCAGGGCTTCAATCAATAACCTCTCAAGGAGCCAATCCCCTTCCCCTTGGCTTCCTATTCCAGCTCATGCCCGCTTTCCATTATTTCCAAGCCAAAATGAAATTTCAGTGAACCGTCATTATAAAAACCTATTCCAAGAAGCAGTCCCCCAGTCTGCAGTCTTTCCACCTGATGACTCTTTGCAAAACAGGATAAGAATGAGCTCCTGAGCTTTTTCTTTGATTGCCTTCCTTGTTTCCTCTCCTCTTTATTATAGACATGACAACGTTAGCATCGGTCATTGTACTTTATCTCGGCCTGATTGTTGGGCGGTGGTAAACCAAGGACACACAGCAGCAGGATGTTATCAGACGGGCTGATGTCCTCCAGTTTATAACCTTGGCTCATATCCGCTCCTGCTTCCCACTAACTGAATTGGCTCGGAAACAGGATTTTTCCATGTACGATCTATGAGCTGGAGTAGCAGCCGCAGCACTACATAACAAGCAGTGGAAAAAACAACAACAACAATCACTTGTGGATGCTTTGTCTGGGTTTAAATGTCTTAATTTTGAGCCCAGGAATCATCCCGAACACCTTTTTTTTTTTGGGCCTCATTTCTTTTTGACATGATGAAACGATATGCAGATGAAAAAATCCTCCCAATTATCTTCGCTAAAGGGATTTCTTTGTCTTACTTTGGCAATCACTCGACGGTATGTTCCATTTTAATCCCAGGTTGCTTTGCTTCAGTTTGGCATATGCTCTTCGACATAGATCCTAATTTGGTGGAAAATCACTTAATTACCTTGGCTTTCGTGGAAATCCACCATCAGGAGTTCAGTCTCGTCCTCCCCTCAGCAGACCCAGGGTGGAGGGTTTGTGTTATTATTAGCCTGGGTAGGCAATCAATCTAGAGATCTCAAGACTCCTTAAATGAGAAAAGCTCTGGTCAAGGTCTTGGCCGTGCAGACAATTAGGAAGGAAAGCCATGTGAGAGAGAGCACGAGGCAGCTGTAAATCTTCACCACAGCCAAGTTTATGACAGTGGAGGATAATGCATGTCTTAAAGGAGGGTGAGGGAATTAATCTGGCTGTTTCTTGGGGGCTTAGAACAGGCAGCCCTTCCTAAAGCCAAGTCTAAATGCAATGCCTCGGGAGTTTCTGCTGCTGATTGAAGCGGGTTTGGAAGCTGAGTGAATGGGTGACTCATAATTTGGAGTTTGGACAGAGAGTATAGATCCTCATCAGCTCATTTATGTGACATTTGAAGAATGTTCTGTTTGCTCAAGAACACTAAGTACAGGATAATGTACGTGATTAATCTCTTTCGTTTGATACATTAATCTGATTGGTCAATGGTAAGTAATCTCGAATTACACCGGGGACGACCACGACCTCCATGGCAAAAATATTGGTTTACAAGGAAATATGTAAACCTGGTCTTTAAAGTTTGGGTAATTATTTGAGTTTGTGAGAACAGATGTGAGAGATGCCCGAGGAGCTCCTGGGTCCTTATCATCTCTGGAATTAATGAAGCAAGTTCCTGTCCTGCAATCCATGCAACGGAAGTAGAGTTTTCGGGTACATTTCGAAGTTGCTGATTGCTGCAAAGTGACTGAAACCATCAGCAATAGAGATGCCATTGTGCCAAATGTTTGAAGATATGTCAACTGCAGACTAGAAGCTAAATTAGGACAGACGTACCACCATAAATTTTCCTGCCGAAGTCCTATTACCTTTGTCTAATTTTACCTTTGCTATAAAAGTTTGCATAGGAATCAGCATGCTAGTGTTTAACTGGATTGTGGGCTGAAATTTCAAGTCAGTTGTTATTCATGAAGGCTAAAAGGATCTTGTTTCCAAGAAGATTAGAGGGACAGGCAAATCACTTTCAAACTTATAAATGCATCTTTAAATCTCCTCAAATGGATCTGCATCTCCAGTATTAATCCGTTAGCGCTTATCTCAGAGCAGGTATTTCTGTTATACAGACTAGTGGAATTGACCAATCAGAATCCCATATTTACCACAGTCATGTAAATCAGTTGGTCTTGTCCTCTAGCTTTCTCTGCTTTTCAAGGTCTCGGAGCGAGTCAGGTTCTCGTTTTGTGGCCAGAATCTCAAGTACAGCTCTGATAGTCCCCGTGTGGGTCAAACTTGAATGCTTGCATCGCAAAGATTCATGAGCGTGAGCACCAGAAGATCTCTTTTTAATGTGGTCTCCATCCCCTCGACTGTTTCTTTTCATCCCCGGCTGCACACATCGGTACATTTAGTCGCTCCTCAAGGCCATTTGCTGTAACTATTGGCCAAGATGCGAATGACGACCTGTTTCTCTTCCCTTCCCCGCAAATCAAATAAACGTCGATTCCCTTGATTGACTCAAGCATTAGCGATAAATATCCGCCTCTATCTGAGCTGCTCGTACCCCGAGGGTTAACGACACATCCTCAGAGGCTCTCTCCAAATCCCAGATTCCCCCTCCCCATTCCCTTAGATCCACAGTCATCTCCATAGCAACAGGCATATGTTTTGTGTACATACTCAGGAAGAGGTAGGTGTCACAGAGAAAGAGGAAATGAATCACTAAAGGGGGAATACAGGTCATGATACCCCAAGGTCAAAGGTGAACCGATTCCTTGAAAGACGACCCCCATTTTCCAGACCTTCTCAACCAGACGGACTGAGCTTCCTCTCCAGCTATGATTAGAAACCATAACCTCATGCTTCACTGTCACACTGTGTCCACATCCATTTCACGAGAAGTGCTAAATGACTTGTTTGCCGGACTGAGACTCAGGCTTCCCATGCATACCCCCCAGCTCTAGGTGAGTGGGGACTTTGAGATCTAATCACCTCTGAAGACTGATTACAGAGGCCCCCCATCTTCCTGTGACATGTTAATCAGGCTGCTGTTGAGGACTCACTTCTGACCAACGGTGATTATGCAGCTTTGATGCCCCCTACACTCCAGGCCTGGTCAAGGTCAGAACTGCAGATTTCTTTGATGTTACCCACAAGCTCCTCCACGGGGTGAGTGTCAGCGTCAATGAGGGTATTAGGGGACGGTAATTGCCTCACAAAGGGTCTTAATGCTCTAAGTGTTCTGACTGCAACATGTTTATTTAAATGTCTCGCCTTGTGATGTGTTACAAAGGTCTTCTCAGAGTTGGGGTTCCCAAAATTTTCAGTCCACAACCCCCAAGATAACAGTACCAGAGAGAGGGAAACCCCCACTGTTCCTCAAGGTAGTTAAACTCAACTAACAGCAGCACCCAGACACTAAAAGGCCAGTTTTGATTGCAGCGGTGAGCACTGAGTGAGACATCGCTACACCTTCCTTTTCTCAGGATTAGTTTCCGTGGTTTCTGTAGCTCCATTGCTCAATTTTTCTTCATTACGCATCTCCAACACTATGTTGCCAAACGATCGGAATAAAAATACGTCATGTAAACATGTCGATTGGAAGGTTCTAATCCAATTCCAATCAAGAGGGGTAGTTTATGCCGATCATTATTCCGAAACCTGTCTATGTAAACACTCATTCTGACCGTGACTCTGTGTTGGGGAAAAACTAACCTGACGCATTTACGTCGTTAGTGACAGGATGTAAACATGGCGGGATCCAGGTGCAATTGGTCTGTATCTGACACAACTTTCTTGTTGGATACAGTCTGGAAACAGTGGATACAGTATGTGTTGCTAAGCCTGCTTGATAATCAAATATGCTAGGAGCAATACAACCGTTCTCAGAACCTGACTCAGGTCCATTCTGAGAGGGGAAAAACCTGAATCAGATGAGGTGAGCCACTACCGCGTTTGTTGGTTTGTTGACAGCACAGGAGTAAATGCAACTTTTTATCTGTGGTTGTCTGTTGTGTTTGAAATCTGCGCATGTCCAAATGCTTCTATTCTAAATAAAGCTTGGTGCATGATCAGATTAACTGATTTTGCGCCCATATAAACAGTGGATTCCGATTTTCCTCAAATTTTCAATCAGATCAAGAAATTTTGCACATGTAAACAAGGCAGTCTATATACTTTCATTCCAGCCTTAGCATGCAAATGGACGTATGACCAAGCGGAAAACTCTGATATTGGAAAGCAGAAACCAATGGGGAACTGCAGTTCCTCTAGTGACCATTTTAGGCTGTAGACCCTGTTGAAGCTTGTTCTGAAAGGCCAGATTTTACAGCAGAAGGAACATGCTCACAGCCTGGTATAGTGGTCACAAGTTACTATTGAAACCCTTATCCCAAACCTAACCCCAAACCAAAAGGTATTTTGAGTCATTGCCATTGTGGTGGCTGTCATTGTTGGGCTTCATAATGCTTCATCAGAAGACTGCATCTATGTTTCATGTGGTCTGGTTATAAAGCAGAGAGTACAGTTCAAGATTGTGGCAGTTGTATTGAGAAGATCCGCGTTTTAACAGCAATGAAGCCCCGGTGATCAAAGTTTGGTCCATAATTTCGTAGCACAGGGTCCTAATGGTCTATGTCCTGTAACTCCATGGTATTCTGGGTCTGCTATACTGGCCTGGGGTTTCGCCAAGACTTCCCAGACAATTTGCCCTTTATCTCACAGTCTGGCGTTCCTTTAACTCCTTCATTGATTTTTGGGGCACTGCCACTATTTTGAGAAATGAGAGTCGGATCTGGAGATTTTAGATTAATTCCCTGCCCGCGCTGTGACTGAAGAACAACCAATGAGCTATGAGCTCCTGCAGTGACCTCATAAATAAGACCATTACAGCAATAAAGGAGAGTATAAAATTGCGGGATTTTGGTTTGAAGAAACGTCGGGGCAGGAAGTCTTTCATTAAGGACACAAATGAATCTTTGGTACGGGAGACTTCTGTTCAGGCCAAGTGATCCCCAGAGGATGGTAAATCAATCTGAATATCCGCCGGTGTCATCACACAGTTAATGGTTATGAAAGAGCCCTGTGAGAGCAAACGCAAACTTTCTTTTTTTCCCTCCCTGGGCCCGGGTTGAACCTCTCTACTTCCCCGGGTTGCTCTTTGAAAGAAAGATGGATTTGATAGAAGACACACATGGCATTGAGAAGAGAAAAAATACGTCTTGCCATCTGTCATTTCTACTCTCATCTTGTCATAGCAGTATTTATTATCTTTAACCATAAGCACCCTTGCTTTAAACCCTCTGCCGGTGACCTCATCGACCGTTACGGGCCTGTCATGCAAATCATTGTTATACGGGGGGAAAATGGGGGCAATAACTCATCCCTGGAAACCTAAAACAGTGCTTCTGTGTCTTCCCTTATGCTGAACACCTGAACTTCATTCATACCAGGATCGGGACTGCCGGAGAGGAATATTACATCACTATTTAGATAAACCCTTTTCAAAGGAGCTCATAAATTTGAAATGCGTCACAGGACTAAACCTTCAGAGATAAAAGAATCACAGTCCGGCCAGCTACCTTGAGGGAAAACAAACACCTTTCACCTTCATTTCACCTGAAACACGATCCACTTGGTATGTATATGGATTCATATTTTCACTTTAGCAATGCTTTTCATCAGAGGATAAACTTAACCCTCAAAGAAATACGTTCATACCTGACTTTCTGTCATTAGCATATTATGCTCGGAGGACACATTAATTTACATGCATGCACCTTTTATCTCAAAGCAGGGAATATCTTGCAGAATTTTGCAGTTCCTTCTTGCTTCAGGTGTTGCTTTCATAAAACGGCCAAAAGTATGTAGATCCTAAGAGGGTACGGTTTTAGGTCTGGACCCTTGTACCTTGTTTCCACTTCTGCATGTGCACAAATCGGAATCCAACACGTTGTCTCTTTGAGTTTTCTTTGGTTTCTATTCATCCGTGATAAATTCACTTCTTGTCTTGGACTCTGGAGGCACCATTCCTTTCTTTACGGATCAGCAGACACCATGCACATACGTAGGTGGGAACGAGGCATCAGTCGAGGTCAACGGGCATTGAAAGTAGTAGACACCGAGTCCAACAACAGAGTGACAAGATTTGTTCTCAAAAATGAGTTTCTTGTGTTTTTTGTGCCAGAACTTGGAAACACCGAAGTCTCTCCTCAACCCCTTAAGGACTTTTGGGATTAACTGGAACTCGCGAGACGGTTTCCACCAACAACGGTTCTCAACCTCTTCATCACTGTTGTCTGTATGGAAGCCTTTCTTTTTTGTACTATATGAGAAAATGTTAATTTTCGGAGAGAGAGACAACGTTTCTTATTTTGTCTTCGCAGAGGTCTTATCTAAACTTCACCTAAGGGATGAACCGGCTGTAATTTGACTATTTTTAACCAAATTTCACCCTTAAATCCCTGTTTGTATGTGGTTTTCTATTCATAGGTCATTCCTGTTTTGTGTCCTAAGCTTTTTCCCTACGTAAAGGCCCAAACAGCAGCATATATCTCTTCTGTTTCAGATATTTTTTGTCCTCATTTAGAAATAGAACCAAATAGGAATCACAGAGCCCTGCATCTTGAAGCATCTCTCCGTCTTCCTCTTCTTTTCTCCCTCAGGTGTCTGGAGTCCTCTACCTGTATTCTTTCCTACACCTCTGCAGTTTCTCTCTCCGCTTGTACTTGCCGTACTTGTTAGGACTCTCAGAGGGATAAGAGAAAAAGAAAGTGTGCGCAGGCCCGGAGCTTTAAAGGGCTCAGGATGGAGGAAGAGGAGGAGGAAGAGTAGGGGTCCAACAGCTTCCTCTGAACATCTTAAACTCCTGTCTTGGCTTTCAAGTGCTCCTCTTCTTCCACCAATCTCTGCCAATCCCACAGGCCTGTGTGGACTCAGTGGACGGTGAAAACGGGCTTCTTTCTCTTTGCCTCTCTCTCTTCTTCTAAACTCCCTCCATCTCTTTGTACCTGATCTTCATTCTCTCTTTACACTTGCCAGCTACTGTTTTTTTGCACCCGTTCCTCATTATAAGTTGAGTTTTGCATGTTTTTGAATTGTGTTTGTCCTCCATATCAGTCATTTTTGCTTTGTCCATCCAAACATGAAACATCTCTGTCCCTCCTCTTCTAGTCCTGGATGTTTTTTTTCTCTCTGCTTTGCACTTTGTTGATTTAGTTTGTCCCAGAAAGTCGCTCTTAAGTGTTTTTTTTATGTGTGAATGAAAGTCATAGATTCTCTCTCAAAAAAAAAAAAGTGGCAGGAAAAAAGTGTAAAAATTTGATGTTTGTAGGACGACAAATCCGTTTGTGTTCGCCACTTCACCATTGACTTTGTAAACAAAGTTCTGCGTGAGTTCCATTTATGTCT